AATATTAGAACCGGAAGAACCCTTAGAAACTGTCAAATCTAGACCTTTAATTTCACAAGGGGTGAAACTGAAGTACAAGTAGTTAAGTGACTGACCTAATGTCACTTAGTCAATACCCAGTAAATATTTGTTAAAGTTGAAGACAATTATTTCTAAAGAACATATTTTTGAAGATCTTTCACAAAGAACAGTCTGTATAAATGTTTGAGGTCAGAACTATCTGTGGTATTGATGAGATTAGGAGAGGATTTGATGATAAATTATTGTTACATTGCTAATATCCTGGCAGTTGATTTTCCCTTCATTATATGTTTTCCATAAGAAAACTGCAACAGCCGCAGTGGCAGCCACCGGCCTTCCTGGGGAGTCTTCCATGAACGATGGACAGCTAGAAACCAGCGAAGCAAGCTCTTGCTCCTGGTCCAAAAGACAAATTCAGTGGAGAGGCTGTCTATCTCAACTGTTAAACCTCAGCCATTGTTCACAGTCTAGCACAGAATTAATCCCTTAAGAAAGAGATGCAAAAATGCCATTCAGCACAACACAGTTTGTAATCGCATGCATAATGCAGACTTTCCAATTAGAATGCTACAATCTGGAAACTATCTTCACAGACTGATGAGAGAGCAATTATTTTAAAGAAGGAAAAACTCAGTTCACTGGGTTTGCCTGAAGTCACTTCTGACTCAAGCCACAGAAAAAGAGTTTTGAAAACATATTCGCTATTGAATTTTGTATCAAAACACTAGCAAGGAGAGCGATTAGTTGCTGTAAACCAAACCTTAGTAATCAATGGTATGCAGCCAGCCACAGCCTTTATGGAAGATGTAAGCAAAATCACATCTGCTAATCAATTCTAAAAGGCCCAGCACTTCACTGCTTTAAGGGAAGCTCCACAGTGAGGATAAGGAAGGCAGGGGAGGCAGCAGTTAATACCACCAGGCATTCTGCGCAGCTCTCACTAGGTGGAGGGTTTGTGGTAACAGCTGAACACAGACCCAACCTGCATTGGCAGACCTTAGCCGGGGGTTTCCTTTCTCAGCGCCTGTTGAAAAGGGCCTTCTGGAGTGCAGGCGGAGGCCTGTGGGTGTGGGCAGGTTTGCTAAGGAACTCCTCTCAGGTACTGTCCTAAGAAGTGTGTCAGTCCTGGACAAGCTCACAGGCAGATATTCCCGGCAGATTTCAAGTCGGAAATCTCTCTACATTGTTGAAGGTGCGGACTAGAAATGGATTTTGCTGGCAGAGAAAGAAGTGAAGGGAGTTGGTGGGCTTTTCAGTTGTGCCTTACTAGAAGAAAGTTTCCCTTCATGGAAAAGAGACATTAAACCAGTCTTTCCTTTAGTGTCCTTCAACCGTACTTGCTTTTTTTTAAGCTGAATCAACAAAGGGATTTTCATTACTGGCTGAGCCTAAATTCCAAGCAACTATACATCTCAGCACATGGATTAGAATTCCCCTTAAAAACTCAAAAGTGTAGGTGAGTCTGAACCCTAGGCTTTAATATCCTGAGGATCCATCAGTATCTGTTTTCTGCTCAGGAGTCACCATGACCCCACATTTCCAACCCCCCGAGACTCTTTAATAGAGGAATAGAGAGGAGATGTCTCAACCAGTTTGTGCTTTTGGCTGCTGTTCAGAAAAAAATAATTTAGACCAGGAGAAATTATTGAAGTAGGAATCGATAGACTCGGCTAATAAAAATTAATATCATAAGGCATGCAAACTATGATAGGCAGTGGATTAATGCCCTTAAAACATAGAGGGCAGCTTCTAAGTCATTAAAAAAAGGTAAATATAAGTAGAAAATGGATAAGATTTTCAAATCAAATGATAATAAGCTGCAAATTAGATCAATGAGATCTATTTTACCTGTCAAATTGGCAGTGTTTTTAAAAATTACACACAATATTGGTGGTGATGCACAGAAATGGGCTTTTTTTTTTTTTACACTGCTGCTGGTGTGGGTATACATCAGTATGGATGCTTTGTTTTGGGGAGAGATGTGCAGCTATTTTGTAATATGTATCAAGATCTCACATGCCTACTCCACAAATTTCAGTTACAGAACATTCAAAAGCAGTCATCGTAGATTTAGCTTCAGAATGTTCATCACAGAGTCTTCAGAACAGTGTAACGTTATCAACTGCCTAAGTCTCCAATAAGAGATCTATTAAATTATGGGACATCCATACAGTGAAGTTCTGTGAAGCCAGTACATATGATGAGGAAGAATATTTGCTCGTACAAAGAAGGTTTTCACAATAGATCATTAAGAAAAGAAGAAAGTTACAAACAATTTGCACTGTGTGTATGTGTTTACAAAATTACCAGAATTACAGGTAAACTTCCTTATAAAACAGTAGTTTGACTTGAAAAATTACTGGAGGACTTTATAGAATAATCTACTATGGGGCACAATATGCACAACCTTAAAAATTCTTTCAATATGCTCTTATCCCAAGAATCTCTATTGGGGCATTTATGATACTTACTGATAATTGGTCTCCCTTTTTATCTTATCCATATCCCATATTCTCGGATCAGTCTTTTTCCATGAAGTATTTCAGGATCTGGTTCGATCATATCCCAAAAGGGACTGATTCTGTATGCTGGTAGGAACTAATTCGGATTATTCAGAAGGATAGGGATTCTGATAAAACCTAGCTCTCCATAAATAATCTAAAACCCCATTGGGGAAATAGCCTCAGCATTGTCTTCCAAAAAGCCTGTTATTAGGACTGTTAGGACTGTTAAGTAAAAAGATAGACTGATTAATCTGAAGGGTTTTTTTCTTGGTTTTAACCTATTCTGGCAGAGTTATGAATGGTTTCAGCACTGACCATATGTGAAACATATGCCATAAACAGAGCCCACATGTTCGGAGTAGGATTTTTTAAAAAGAAAAAGATAGTAGTCTTTCTAATGAGCTTATAATCATTCTGGGAACCAGACATAGAAGCAAAAATTATTACACTTTTTAAAGTTACTCAACATATATATAAATTAACATAGGCTAACTGCATAAAAGTGCTAAGAAACTAGAATTATTTTCAAAGAAATGAGTAATGAGGGAAGTGATTCACTTTCTTATCAGGCAAGCTGCTGTAATCTTAGAATTATTGGACATTTAAAAAAATAGGGTGGAAGCCTGTCTGATTCATTCAGAGTACTCTGAGAGATTAAACATGCAGGCGAATTAAATGGAATCAGTAAGTATAATCTGTTTCTGCTTTCCAAAACTTTTTAACAGTTTTCTCTACTTAAAAGGTAAATGCCAAAATATTAGGTAGTGTGGATTTGGTCATTGATAGCAAGCAAATTACAATTGTAAATAAGCAACAAATGGTAAGGGGAGAGAAGAACACAGCGGCATTTCTAATCCTCCATAATAGCTTTATAGGTGACACTAGACTGAACTGGGGCAAAGGATTTTAATTGATTGTGATTGGAAGATTAAGGAGAAACAATACGAAGTACTTTAGTACAGTGATAGGTTACCAGTTGTAAGTTATGAGCCAGATACATAAACTGGGAGTAAAGGAAGCATTTGACAGAGGGATTATAGAAGTGGGCTTTGGTCAGGATACCAGGCTGGAACCCTGTATCCACCTTCACCACTGTGTGAGTTTAAACAAGTTACTTAATAGCCTTAAGCCTCACTTTCACCATCTATAATTTGATGAGAGTTATAATGCTTGCTAGGAGGATTTTGAGAAGGTTTTAATAAGATAAATTATATAGAGCATTTAACATAGGACTTGCACACAGTAAGCATTAAAGAAATGTTGGCCATTATGATAATGTTGATCACTATTACTGTTGTTACAAATAATGTATTTGCTCCGCAAACAGTCATTGAGTGTGGGCTCTGTGTGAGGCACTCTGCCTAGGACAGGGTATAGAAAAACAAGTAAGACATAGTCACTGCCTTCAGGGACCTTGTCATCTGTTCCAACTGGTGGAGAAAGTGGATGTGCATGACCAGGTAAAGCAGTAAGGTAGATGACTTGTATGGGAGGGACTTCTGAGGCTGAAATCATAGAAAACAATGCTCTCTCATCTCTCACCATAGTGGCACTGTCAGAAGCAAAGTGCTGGACTGTAATCTGATCCCACATTGCAATACTTATGTTCTTTTGTTTAATTCTATTTTTTAAACTGAAGAATAACTCAGTACAGTGTACAAATCTTTTATGTATAGCTCAGTGAATATTTATACAAGTATATATGCATATAGCTACCATGCAGATGAAAATTAGCACTTTCCCAGGACCCTAGAAGTTTCCCACATATATTTTCCCAGTCATTACCTCCCCTAAGGTAACCACTATTCTAGTTCCTGTTATCACAGATAAATTTTGTCTTTTGAGCTTCATGTAAATGGAATCATATAGTCAAAGCTTAGGTTCTAACCTGGGCGCTAAAACAGAGATAAGAAGAACAGGACTAAGACTATCAGTTTCTAAATAATAAAGCTTTACTAATGAATATATGTTTGCTTATATCTACAAATCAGATAATCTTACCAAAGGTATACAAAGTCTGCTAAGAATGAGAAGGTGCCTGAAACATGATAATCAGAGCCATTGGAGTGTGCTCGTTATGACCAGTTAGAAAGCACAAATGCCCCCATGAACAGTGGCCTCATGGATGCTGCCTTTGGTCAGCCCTGCCACTGGAGGTGACAGCTGGAGAGATCAGGAGGATTTGGGGACAGCTCCCTGATAAGGCAATCTGAAAAGCTTTGCCACTTGAGGTAAGAGGCTGCTGGCATTGAGTGACGTATGAAATAAATTCCTGAAGAGACGAGCCTCTCACCGAAGACCGCCTCCACCTTCTCTCGTCATACTTTTGTTGGGGATTCACCTTCCTTCTCCAGTCCTGGAAGGTGGTGGGGCAAAAGAGGCAGGTAGGAGGGGTAGCAGGTTCCCTCATGCCTACAGTGTAAGGAAGCAGCCAGTTCGAACATTCACAGCGTTCTTGTTTTTCTCTTTGTTCAGGTTGTTACTTTGGGACTGTGATGACCGAAGCTATAGCTACTACGTTGAGGTGTCCACCAGCCAGCAGCACTGGACCATGGTAGCCGACAGAACTAAAGTCTCCTGCAAGTAAGTCACGGCCTTCCAAGGAATTTATTCCAACTCAAAAGATAGTCTTTCCAGTGGATTCAGAAGGGTCCAGTGAAGATTCATGGAATCACCAAATTACATTCTTAACCCAGAGGTTGAAAACATTCCAGTGATACTTTACTTCAGTTTTGACTATTAAGTACTTAGATGAGATTTTGCTTTATATGACTAAACAAGCTTTCCTTATCTTGTGGTTTGAACTTGACTTTTGAAAATGGCATGTGCCTAAGCAGGGAATAGAAAAATGCTTCCCATACGCAGTCCCATCCTGGGCCCGCCCCCCGCAGCCCACTCTCTCCTTTTAGGACTTTTTTTCTTCCTTAGAGAATTTTGCTGATGCCATATACACTTCAGTGGTTATTCTGGGACTCTGTCCTATTCCCCACCCTCACATCATTCTCAGAGTTAGCTTTAAATATTTATCTCATCTCTGTGCTAGCTACACTGCTACTTAAGGAAAGCTTGGTGCCTTAGGTCTCTGTAGGCAAAAAGAGGCTTTTCATGAATGTGGCATTGTGGCTCTGTGTGGCTTACCTGTTTGCGGAGGAAGCCAGGAGGAAGGATTCTGTGGGTTCTGACCAACCTAGAATCATGCCTGGAAAGAATATTTACATGTATATGCCCATATAACTACCACTGGGGTCGATAGGCACATTCCAGCATCCCAGAAGTCTCCTGCACACCTTTTTCTAGTATTACTTGAAAAGAGTTCAGTGCTTTTTTGTGTAGAGCCAGATTCTCTGGGAGGCAAAATAAAGCAAGTAGCTGAGATTTCTTTTTTTTAATTGAGATATGATTCACATACCATAAAATTCATGCTTTTAAATCATATAACTCAATGTGTTTTAGTATATTCACAGAATTATGCCTCCATCACTGCTACCTAATGTTCCAAAACATTTTCATAACCCCAAAGAAGACCTCCTACCCATTAATAGCCTCCCCATTTCACTCTAGCAACCACAGCTCCAGCACCCAATAATCTACTTTCTGTCTCAGTGGATTTGATAGAAAGCACAAATGCCCCCATGAACAGTGGCCTCATGGATGCTGCCTTTGGTCAGCCCCGCCACTGGAGGTGACAGCTGGAGAGATCAGGAGGATTTGGGGACAGCTCCCTGATAAGGCAATCTGAAAAGCTTTGCCACTTGAGGTAAGAGGCTGCTGGCATTGAGTGACGTATGAAATAAATTCCTGAAGAGACGAGCCTCTCACCGAAGACCGCCTCCACCTTCTCTCGTCATACTTTTGTTGGGGATTCACCTTCCTTCTCCAGTCCTGGAAGGTGGTGGGGCAAAAGAGGCAGGTAGGAGGGGTAGCAGGTTCCCTCATGCCTACAGTGTAAGGAAGCAGCCAGTTCGAACATTCACAGCGTTCTTGTTTTTCTCTTTGTTCAGGTTGTTACTTTGGGACTGTGATGACCGAAGCTATAGCTACTACGTTGAGGTGTCCACCAGCCAGCAGCACTGGACCATGGTAGCCGACAGAACTAAAGTCTCCTGCAAGTAAGTCACGGCCTTCCAAGGAATTTATTCCAATTCAAAAGATAGTATTTCTCAATAGATTCAGAAGGTTCCAGTGAAGATTCATGGAATCACCAAATTACATTCTTAACCCAGAGGTTGAAAACATTCCAGTGATACTTTACTTCAGTTTTGACTATTAAGTACTTAGATGAGATTTTGCTTTATATGACTAAACAAGCTTTCCTTATCTTGTGGTTTGAACTTGACTTTTGAAAATGGCATGTGCCTAAGCAGGGAATAGAAAAATGCTTCCCATACGCAGTCCCATCCTGGGCCCGCCCCCCGCAGCCCACTCTCTCCTTTTAGGACTTTTTTTCTTCCTTAGAGAATTTTGCTGATGCCATATACACTTCAGTGGTTATTCTGGGACTCTGTCCTATTCCCCACCCTCACATCATTCTCAGAGTTAGCTTTAAATATTTATCTCATCTCTGTGCTAGCTACACTGCTACTTAAGGAAAGCTTGGTGCCTTAGGTCTCTGTAGGCAAAAAGAGGCTTTTCATGAATGTGGCATTGTGGCTCTGTGTGGCTTACCTGTTTGCGGAGGAAGCCAGGAGGAAGGATTCTGTGGGTTCTGACCAACCTAGAATCATGCCTGGAAAGAATATTTACATGTATATGCCCATATAACTACCACTGGGGTCGATAGGCACATTCCAGCATCCCAGAAGTCTCCTGCACACCTTTTTCTAGTCATTACTTGAAAAGAGTTCAGTGCTTTTTTGTGTAGAGCCAGATTCTCTGGGAGGCAAAATAAAGCAAGTAGCTGAGATTTCTTTTTTTTAATTGAGATATGATTCACATACCATAAAATTCATGCTTTTAAATCATATAACTCAATGTGTTTTAGTATATTCACAGAATTATGCCTCCATCACTGCTACCTAATGTTCCAAAACATTTTCATAACCCCAAAGAAGACCTCCTACCCATTAATAGCCTCCCCATTTCACTCTAGCAACCACAGCTCCAGCACCCAATAATCTACTTTCTGTCTCAGTGGATTTGCACATTCATATTTCATATAAATGATCTTTTATTCCTGGCTTCTTGCACTTAGTATGTTTTCAGGGCTCATTCGTGTTTCTAGCATGTATCAGTACCTTATTCCTTTCTACGACTCAATAGTATTCCATCATATGGAAATACATATTTCACATTTTGTTTATCCAGTCATCACTAGATGGATTTTTGAATTGTTTCCACTTTTTGGCTATTATGAATAGTGTTGCTTATGAACATTCCTGTGCAAGTTTTTGAATGAATGTATGTTTTAGCTCCCTGTGTATCTACTAGAAGGAGAATTGCTGGGCCTTATGGCAATGGTATGTTTAAGTTTAGAGAAACTGCCAAACTTTTCCACAGCAGCTGCACCATTTTGCATTCCCACCAGCAGTGTATGAGGGCTCCAATTTCTCCACATTCTTGCCAGCACTTGTTATTGCCTATCTTCTTGTTCACAGTCATCTTAGTGGGAGTGAAGTGATTTTGCTTAGCGTTTTCCTGATGGCTAAGGATGATGAACATCTTTTCATATACTTATTTGGCCAACATTTTGTAATAGCACTAATGATGGCTTTTTTGGTGCCTTGTTTGACACCCATAATTACTATTATAGTAATTATCAAATAGCATGTTTACTTTGGTTATGATAACACTTGCTACTATAACAAAGAGTGACTTCAACATTTTAGTGTCTTAACATAATAGTTTATTTCTCAGTCATGTGATAGTCACTGGGTATTCCCGGTTACCAGTAGCTTCTGCACAGGTGACTGAGGAGCCCAAGCATCTCTCTTCCTGTAGGGCTGCCATCATCCAGAGCCTCTCTGGTGTCATCTGTATCTAGCTGGCAGTTGGGAAAAGAACAGAGAGAAGGTATACCTGGTTCTGAACAGTCTTGGCCTGAGTGTACAGTGAACATCCCTCCTACTTGGGTTCCACTGGGGAGAACTAGTCACTTGACACACTGGATGCTGGTAGGATTGGCTGGACAGCTGCTTCCCAGTGGAGCACAAGTCTTGTAGCCATCTCTCCTGTAGCATAAGAAAACCAACAATTATTTAGTAACTAGCGTTCCATTACTTTCATGTATTTTATCTCATTTTGTCTTGAATACAAAACACCTTGTAGGATATTGTTCTTGTCTTATGAAAGAGAAAATGAAGGGCTCTTTCCATTGTACCACCCCACCCCTGGTGTCCAAAGCATTATGAAAGAGAGCTAAACCAAGCTAGATGATGAAAACTGGGAAATGAAGTGAGTAACTTGTTTCCAAGTTCCTAGAACCCTTTTTTATACAATAGGGAGACCTTCAAGGCCTATGAACAACGGCCTAATTATCTTCCCAGAGTCATTGCTTATTGAGTGTACAGCTCCCAGGCCATACCCTCTGCTTCCTCATCTTTTAACACATCTAACTGGTCACTCTCACCCATGTGTTCTGTCATTTTATGTCTGATAAATTGGATTCCTAATCTCTTTCTTTTTTTGTCCCCCTGTTGAAAATGTTGTACAATATGAGTTTTTAACAAGAAATGGTTGACTCGGTTCCTGACCAGGTACAATACCATAATGATTATATCTTTATTTAAATGGGTTTCTTCTTGATCAATTCACATCTTAGGCTCTGTCAGTAGCTTTGCATTAAGTCATCAGAATCTTTTTTTCTTTTTGTTTATTATTTATTTATTTATTTATTATCCTCTTTTTATTTTTTGTTTCCATTAGTTGATGGACTTAAATAATTTAAAAGTTTTTAACCTTGTCTGTTAGCACTTATATGCTACAGCAATGTAAGTGTTTTGCAAATTAATAAATAATATATTAGAAGAACAAGAGTAACTAGCAAGAAGGCAAGTGTCTGTTAACCCCCTAAGGATCGGTGGAACCAAAGGTTATGATTTATGTTCATAGACATAACTTAAATCTGTTGTACCTCCCATTTTGAATTAGGTCCTAAGAAATATAGTAGAAGCCACTAAGATGGTAGAAGAAAATCTTTCCTTTTTAACTAATATACTCCAGAGCAGTCCTCAAGAGAGGATTCTCTTAGTTTCAGGAGGTATAGCCTGTTTTATATTGAAATAAAGTATGTGAGTCATGTTATAAATGAAATTCTATACAATCTTTAGAGGCCATAGCCCTGCCTCTTGATAGCACTCTACCTAGTCAAGAAAGCAGAGGACAAATTTTTGCTGTTCTCTGAAAGATATCTGTGGAATGACAAGTCTCCCTGTAAGTCCCTCTGCTCCTGGGGCAGGATATTTTCCTTTATTGCTATCCTAAATCCTTTCTGCTATAGTTGGAGTTTCTCTTATTTTGCTTTCAAGATAAAGGCTTGTTTTCTGTCATAGATAACCCTGTTTTTTTATTGACTGAGTTTTATATTTTATTGACTGATTTATATATTTTTATATGTTTATTAGTTTATCAGCTTTCTAACTCCTTGC